GAAAAGGCCTGGTTCTACCCTTCCACTCCAAACAGGAGGACCTGGGAAAAGATGGAATTTGGAAGCAGGAATTAAAGGGAAGAAGCTGATCAGGGAAGCTGGGGAAAAAGGAGGCAGGGAGGGTGTCTTCATTTATTTCTTCTTTTTTTGCTGCTGACAGTTCAGCCTTGATGTTTCATGCCCTCATGGAGATGGTTTGATCCCAGAGTGTACCTGAGCTTCCTGGTACAAACAGCAACACTGTCCATCGATTCGTCCATCCCTACCTTCCAACATCCCCACTGGGCGAGCAGAGGAAACATCCCCTGAGTTCTAGGACCTTGCAGGACCCATAGCAGGTGCCTCCTGGATTTGATTTCCCCCAGGTTGCCTACAAAAATGTGAATGAAGAGGGTGCTCCTGGGCTCTAGAGAACAGAAGGCATGCATAGTCTGGGTCAGGGGCATCCGGCCTCCTTCCCCAAGAAGAAAAGTCTCAAAGTGAGGACAAGACACTCCTCGAAGCCTCTACCAGAGACCACATCACAAAGACCCATTAAAGCACTAAGAAGATGACACCCATGGCCGCCACCCACCCATCCTGTGGGACCTATGGAAAACCAGAAGGTCCCTCCAGTCCCCGGCACTCTGCCCAGCCCAAGCTCTCCCAGCCTCTGCTTCCCACCCCCCAGGAGGAAAGACAGTGCCCAGGCTGAGCCAGGCAGCTGGCCCTGGTGCCTGTGAGTAGACGGGACCCTCCCTGGAGAACTCGAAAATGCCAGTGAGCAAAGCCCAAACACCTCCACCCTGAGTCCTTCTCCAGCCTTAAAGCAAATCGTCTTTTAATCCTGAAACACCAAATATTTAATTTATGCTCTACCTCAAATGTCAAGCCCACCTCCCAGCACATAGCTTTGAAACCACGTAAAGAAGCCTAACACTTTCCATATGGTAAAGACATGGGGCCTTTTAATTGTGCCAACTGGTATCATTCAAGGGTAATTCCCTTGGAATCCGGCGCTCGGGCAACAGCTGGGCCAGCCTCCAATCTCATCACCCAACCCCACATGTCCCCATGGGACATGTAAGCCTGCACCCTCCTCATCTTCTCCAAATATCCAAATGTACTAGGTGCCCCCAGCCAAATTACCAAACTGCCTGGCAGCCGCCTTTGATCCAGAGGCGGGCTTGCCTGCACCATGGCTCTCAGCCTATTTCGTCGGGCAGCTCTGCTGTACAAGAACAAAAGGGCCAATCGGGGCCGTGGGGAGGAGATTGTTTTAAATCTGGTTGTACATATTTACAATCGGCCTGTGAGTGTATACAGAGGCACACAGGTCTTCACCAAGTGTCTCCCACCTGATACCTGAGTCCCCTGCACTATTTAATCAATCTATTAAGCTTTTTCACTTGTCCATTCTATTTTCCACACCCAGTGTTTCCAATTGGTTTTCTTCTCTAACTGCCTGTTGCTGCTTCATGTTTCCAGCATCCTCCGTTGTCTCTCTGAGTTTATGATGCTTATTTTGCTTTCTAATTCTGTTTAACACAGTGTTCTCTGGCGTGTGTGCTGGTCAGTTTATTGCTTCTCTTCCACAGTACTCGTGTGCCTCCCATTTCTCATTCCTTTTCTCCTATGAGTCCATATTCCCTTGGACTTGCTCATGTCCCCATGGAAAGGGCAAAAGCCCAGCCCTTGGCCTGCATCCCTCCAAGTGAGCCTGCCATGAGAGTGGGGCAGGCAGAGAGCCTCTGGTGCTCTTATCCCAGCCCTATCACTCCCTGTTTGTAGGCCCCCATCTCCAACCCTACAAATGTCTTCAGTGAATCTCCCAGTAGGTTAACTTCCTTCCCAGGTTCAACGGTTATAATCCCATCATAACCCGCCAGGGATGAAAATATTATACCCATTTTGCAGATGAGCTAATTAAGGTATACAAGGGTAAAATGGTTTGCACAGGTGACAAATAACTAGGACAGAGCCTGACCTCATTTATTTCTGTATTTAAGAGGGCAGGCTTAGTTTAATGCCAGCATGGTCACCCTTTCACATCTCAGGACCCTGTGTGCAACTTGGACTCATCTGGGACATTTCCCAAGTTCATCAGATCCCGTCAGGAAGGAAGAGGGCAAACAGGGGCCATCCTGCTTCTGCCTGCCCCACGACTGGCTCATCTCGAAGCACTCCCTCTCTGGGAGTTTTGTATGCAGCACCCTCCAGGCGGATGCCCTGGCACAGGGCTTCTCTACACATGGCTTCTCCTAGAAACTGCTCCAGAAAGGGAGAAACACACAGTCCACACCAGCGGGCTGTCAACACTACAAGGTTATGGGGAGGATTAAGATAATGTAAGCAAAGTGCTTGACACATATAGGCACTTAATAAATACTAGTTATTATTGCAATAACAGTAATATCAGTTGGATGAGCCACTGTGTCTCCAGCCACTTAGTTGACAGGCCACATAAACGACTGGAGGCAGAGACTAGCCCCAAAACAGGCTTGGGGTTGGTGGGAGGACCTCTGCCAGCCCTTGGAAACCAGCAGACTTTGCAGCCCACGCCCTCCTACATCCTGATAATATCATGGAAGAACCTACCAGCTACCCCTTCGGCACCAGAGGGAATCGAGGAAATGAACTAGCCTGAGGGTTGCCCATTGCTGTCCTGTTCAATAGCTCAGTGCTTCCCAAACTGAACAGTGCATTCCGTTCCCACATTCACAATTTTGACCACTTGTACTTAATATTTTTCTCTGAATCGACTTCACATTAGACTCTTTTTTAACTTAGCTTCATCCTAAGCAATAATATCTGCAAAATCATGGGTTTGATGTCCTAGCTATTTTTTTTTCTGGTTAAAAAAAAAAAAAGATAACTATTAAGATTTAAAATGTTCATCCAGGTACCACCTGAAATCACCTGGAGGACGCCTGGAGTGCTGTTCCACACCCTGGACTCCCCCTGAAGGTCTGACTCCTTATCACTACCTCTGCAGACACACTGGCTGGGCCATCTGGGGCCAAGGTTGGTGAAAACCCAGGCGTCTGGGTCCCCAGCAGCAAGAACAACTCCCAAGGAGACAGAGGCCGGCCCCCTGCTTAACATCTTTGATGGCTGGGGCCCACCCTCCAACCACCTGACACATGTCACGCCAACGGCTCTGAGCCTCACATCTTCAAAAGTACTTTGAACAAACATTAATGACCTCTCAGCATTTCTCTGAGAGAGGGGGCGAGGGAGGGAGGGGGACAGGCACCATCCCATGCTGTCCTCAGCTAGGGGAAGAAACCAGGCAACAGAATTCCGTGACTTCACCAAAGCCACAGACTTAAGCTGGGGCCCCCTCCCCATCCTCCCTCACTTCCCCCAATGGTAACTTTTACTGGCCTGCATTCCTCTCGCTGGGAACACTACTATTTAATTAAAAACGACAGACTTTTGTTTTCCTCTCCCTCTTGCCTCCTCCCTCCCATCCTCCCAGACTGGATGCCAAGGAGACCCACCAAAAACATGCGGGTAACATTTGTTATGGCTTTGAAGATAAAAGTCAATTGAAGTAAGCCCTCGTTGTATTTCAAGTTTTCCCTCTAGCACGGAGCAAGCTGCCTGGCAGTTCAGAAAAAAAAGAAAAAGGAGGGACTGCAAATAAATGTCATTCTGCAGGAATACTTTGTAAAAATAAACAGGCTGAAAAAACCCAAAACTTGATTAATGGAAATCCACTCAGTGGGCCTCTGTCTGGAGCTGCAAATGCATTTGTTCATATGGCTAAATTAGACCATTTTCGTTGGTCTTTAAATAAATAAGTAGATCAAAAACTAGAAAGGGCAGGAGAAGAAGGGAAGGTTTGTAGTTCTGTTTTTAAAGGGCCTCAACTGCAGTGCCCCCCACCCACCAAGATTTGACCTTTACTAGGGGACAGCAGCTTCAAGTCCGACCAAGCCAACAGAAGACAGAGAAGCCCCCAGTTAAGCAGTGGTGGTGGAGGAGGACAGGGGAGCTTCTCCCAGGCCCAGAGGTTATTTCATCCACACACAGGAACTGACTTTATCCACAGGTCCACCTCCCGACACCAGCACTGCAAGCAGGCTGCCAGGTCCCACCACCCAAATACACACACATCTGAAGTCTCCACTGGCCTCTCCCCAGCCCATGGATAAGACCAAAGAACTAACCAGACCTGAGACTCAGTCTATTCCCCCTCTAAGTTTAAAAAAAAAAAAATTAAATGTCACATCAAAAAGTTGATTCATCCTTTGATCCTAGGCTTGCGCGAGTTCCACGCAGACCGCCTGAAAGCCCCGTGCAGAGTTCCGGAGCTCACAGGACATCTGTGAACGCCAAGTCCCAGGCCAGGAGCTGGGGCTGGACTCACTCATTCCCATCACACTTAGTGCTCCTCCACGAATTCCAGCCTCAGGGACCCATGGGGTGAAGGCTCAGGGCTGTGCCCAGGCTACAGTAGAATGAGGCCCTCTCTCTCATGTGCCAAGTAAGAGGTCTGCCAGGTCTCAGTCCCCCTAGATCTGCCACCCAGAGGGCCGCCTGCTCTGCTGGGGTTCCTGTACAGGTGGCACTGATGAATGCCACAGACAATCAGAACATATTCAGATCCTGGGGCTAGCACAGCTCTACCCTCCACCCACACACCCCAATACCGCCCTCTCCCTAGCCCCTACTCCACCTCCACCTTTGAATGCTGGTGGCAGAAACAAGGTAGAAGTCAGAGCAGGTCCCCAGATCCCTCCGGTACAGACATGCTTCCCCATCAACTGGACCTTCACCACCTCCCCACCTAGGACCTTTCCCCCAGGCAGCCCTCTGCCTCCAGCTGGGCACTTCAAGGTTCTCCAAGGCATCCGGGAAGAGGGTCGCGTTGGTGGGGCAGGGGGCAGCTGAGAAGAGATTTTTAGACCCAGAAGCTGTGCAGGAAAGTGCTCAAAGTTGGGGTGCATGGGTTTGGGGACCCATCTCTGAGGCTGAAAGGAGGCCAGGAGGTGGGGCAGGGTGGGGAATCATACCCGGGTGCCTCGGCCTATGGTGCCCGCCAACCGCAGCTGTCGGGGTCCTGAGACACCGCCCGGGCAGCGCTGTCTCCCGATCCACTCCTCGATGCCCTTCCGAGCCCAGGCAGCGCTCACGGCGAAGCTGTCACCTGGGGCGGGGACGACATGAAGCCCCTGAGTCTGGCTCCGGGTACCAAAACTTACCCCCGCGGAGGGAAGGAGGCGCGGTGGGAGGCGAAGGGCCATGGCACGGCAGCCAGGAGGGGGTTCGCGGGCTGAGGCAGGAGCCAAGAGAGGGACGCGGGTAAGTAAAGGGGGGTTCAGCGAAGCCCCAGGAGCGAGGAGACAGAAGAGGGCAAGAGGGGTGAGCAGTACCCCTGGAGGACGGGTTTGGGGATCAGACCAGGGAGCGCTGGTGGCCAAGACTGCAGAGGAGAGGGCTGGGGGTCAGGAGAGGGGCCGCAGTAGGTGCAGGAGCCAGGATACGGGAGAAGGCGCCGGGGGGCAGGAAGAGGGGGCAGGGTCTTGCGGAGAGGTGCTCGGGGGTCTGAGGAGAGGGAGCCCTGGGAGCCGAGGGCAGGGACGCGGGAGGGGGAGGGGTTGAGGGTCAGCGGTGGTAGCGCAGGACCGCGGGGAGCGGGTAGAAGGGACAGAGGAGGGGGCGCGAAGGCTGCTCCGGGAGCGGGCTTGGGGAGCCGGTGGCCGGAACTGGGGCTTGGGGGTGGCCCTGGTCATAAGACCTGGTGGGCTGGGCCGTTCTGCTGCGGCCGCGGTGTCCCCCGCGTCCATCCCCGA